ATATATATATATATGAGTGTTTGCCTGCATGTATGTACGTGACCACATCTGTGCAAAGCTCACAGAGGCCAGAAAAAGTGTGGCTCAGTGGTAGAGCCTACCTAGAACCTCCCTTTCCCCCCCCCAACACCAGTGAGGGGCTGCGGACATGGCTCAGTGGTAGAGCATCTGCCTAGACTCCCCCAGTGAGGGGCTCAGACATGGCTCAGTGGTAGAGCACCTGTCTAGCCTCCCCCAGTGAGGGGCTCAGACGTGGCTCAATAGTAAAATCTAATAGGCACAAGGCTCTGGGTTCCATTCCCAGAACTGCAAAATCTGCTAGCTGAGTTTAGTGGCACATACCTTTAATCTCAGCACTCAAGAGGCAGAGGTAAGCAGATATCCATGAATTTAAAGCCAGTTTAATCTATATAACATGTTTCAGGCCACCCTGGCATACATAGTAAGACCTGTCTCAAAAAAAAAGTATGTGTTGGTAGAACTGCTTGGCACTATCAACAGGTGAAAGCTAACAAGGGCAGCGTCAGCCTGGCTTGGCTCTGAGATTCCATGTCCATATAACTAGTGCCTGCCTGTCATTTGTCTCTAAACTTGAACCACTGCCCTATTTTAATCCTCATCCAAAGCTTGTGACCAGGGTCTCCTCCCCAGTGAGCCAGGGCCTTACCCAGTGAGAGCCCTTTATTCTTCCTTAGTTCTTAAGGTCCCAAGTTGTTTCCCACAACTGGAAGAGTTTACCCAGATAACTGTAAAAGCAGAGTCTGGGTTCACCAAGCCCATAGGCCAGGGGTCAGTCCTTCCATTCTAATCACATCAAGAGCCAGCCCCATAGGCAGCAGTAGCCCGGAGATGCACTGGGGATGACTGGGTGTCACATGTATGCCAAGAACCCTCAGACCAGCTCTTTGGTCCCATCCTTGTTGCTCCAGGTATGATACAAACATGACTGCTTTATCCTGGCAGGTGAAAGCGAACAAGGGCAGCGCCAACCTGAGCCAGCTGCAGCAGGCTTCCCGGGGAGTGAGCCAAGCCACTGCTGCTGTGGTGGCCTCAACCATTTCCGGCAAATCTCAGATTGAGGAGACAGGTAGCCTTTCAGCTACTCTTTTTTGCACATAATCTCAGTTTAGTTCTGAATTGTTTTTTCTTTCTCTCTGTGTGTGTGTGTGTGTGTGTGTGTGTGTGCGTGCGTGTGCAGGCATGTGGAGGCCAGATGTTAGGTGTCTTCCTCTCTCGCTTCTCCACCTTATCTTTTGAAACAGGGTCTCTTACTGAACCTGGAACTCACTTATTATTTAGACTGGGCTAGCTGGCGAGCTCCAGGGACATACCTAGGGACCTACCTCTGCCAGTCAGGTGTTACCTTCTAAACATTCCAGAGTCCCCAAAATAGCATCCCAGCCAGAGAACAAGTGCTCCAAACATAATCCTGCGGGGACATTGATGATTCCAACCATAACAGCGGGCAGAGGGCAGGTCAAGCATTTCAGCAGGGAACTAACCTTGTCCTCACAGCTGAGCATCAAAGGAAGACACTGACTGGCTCTTCCTGTTTCCGTCTTCCAGACAGTATGGACTTCTCAAGCATGACGCTGACCCAGATCAAGCGCCAAGAGATGGATTCCCAGGTGAGAGCACCATGGCCCTTCCAAGGCCAGGCTTCCTCTGCTTACACATCAACCCCCAGTATCATGTGTATCAAAAAAACCCAGAGTGAGAATGAGAAACCTAAGGACAAGTGAAGCCAGGAATGGGGCACACATACAGAATCCCAGCACTTGGGAAGCTAGCCTGGGCTACATAGTGAGACTGTCAAAAAAAAAAAATGATGGGGCTGGAGTGATGACTCAGTGGTTAAGAACACTTGCTGCTCCTGCAAAAGACCCAAGTTCATTTTTTGGCACTCATATCTGGAGGCTCACAACCATCTGTAACTCAGCTCCAGGGTATCTCGTGCCCTCTTCTGGCCTCCATGTACACATATACTCCTGTGCACATAAACCACTCCCTGTATTAGTTTTCTGTTGCTATAATTAAACTCCATGGTCAAGGCAACTTAGAGAAGGAAGACTTTATTTGGCTTACAGTTCCACAGGGATAAGAAGCCATCATGGCAGGACGCAGCTGGAGCTGAGAGCTCACATCTTCAAGCAGGCACAGGAAGCAGAGAGACAAACTGGAAATAGGAGGTGGCTATGAACTTGCAAAGTCTACCCCCACTGATGAGCTTCCTCCAGTTGGGCTGTACCCTAGGGATTCTAGGACCTTCCCACAACAGCACCAACTGACCAAGTGTTTAAATACTTGAGCCTGTGGAGGACACTTATTGAAACCAACACACACACACACACACACACACACACACACACGCAATTTTTTTTAATTAAAAAAAACAAGAGAGATGGCTGAGTGTGGTGGTACACCTCTAATCCTGGCACTGAGGAGGTGGAGGGAAGAGAAACAAGTGTTCAAGGCTAGCTTCAGCTATATAGCAAGATCCAGGCCAGCCTGGGCTACATGTGATTTTGTCTCAAAATTGGGTTGAACTTGAGAATTCAGGTATAGAAATAGGATGGATAGGACATGGACTCAATGAACACACCTCCTCTTCAGTTACGAGAATATCCTGAAGAATCCGCCAGTGAGGGGATGGGGGCATGGCTCAGTGGTAGAAAACCTGCCTAGAATCCCCTAGTGAGGGGCTGAGGGCATGGCTCAGTATAGAGCACCTGCTTAGACTCCCCCAGTGAGGGGATGGGGGCATGACTCAGTGGTAGAACACCAGCCTAGAATCCCCCAATAAGGACTGGGGATGTGGTTCAGCAGTAGGGCACCTGTCTATCATGTATGAGGCCCTGGGTCCGATTTCCACTGCTTCAAAGAGAGAGAAAGAGAGACCAAGAGATACAGAGGAGGGTAGGGTCATAGCTCACTAGTAGAACAGACACCCACTCAGCATGTGTTTGACACTGGATTCGATCCCCAGGACCAAAAAGAAATAAGACAATTTCCCTAACTTTTCCAACAGGTTAGGGTGCTGGAGCTGGAAAACGACCTGCAGAAGGAGCGGCTGAAATTAGGAGAACTTCGGAAAAAGCACTACGAGCTGGCTGGTGTTGCTGAGGGCTGGGAAGAGGGTAAGCTGGCCATGGGGACCCAGCATGCCACAGCAGGGATGGGCTTCCCTGCTCACACAACAGTGAACCCTCTGGCCCGCCGTTTCCTCCTCCTCTCCTCTCCTTTTTTCATTTCTTTAAACCTAAAGCTGGAGTACAGCACAGTGAACAAAAAGCTTGTGTTGTCACCATTCAGCTTTATGCTAGGTGGTCTGTACCTGTAATCCCACACTCTGGGGACAGAGGCAAGAAGGTCACAAGTTTGAGGTCACCCTGAGTAATGTTGAAAAAAAAATGAAAATTATAAAAAAACAAAACAAAACAACAACACACCTCTGCATTGACTAATGAACTTGTGATTCAGTTACTACAATGTCCTCCCAGGTCACTAGTGTGTACTGGCCACATAGTGGTCAGTGGAGCACTAGAAGACAGGGCATGGGAATTATAAGGTACTGACTGTAAAACCAGCAAAAGGCCACAGTGGAGAGCCTGGGTGAGTTGATAGTCAGTAAAATGCTTCCAACACCAAGCCTGACAACCTGAGTTCAATCCCTGGAACCCATAGTTGGAGGAAAGAACTGACCCCCACCCCCCAGATTGTCCATGGTACATATACACCTGCACACACACATATCATACACACACACACTAAGAATAATAAATAAAATTATTTTAATATTTTGTTATTTTTATTTTATGTGTGTGAGTGTATTGCCTGCGTATATGTGAGTGCACTCATGTCGTGCAATGCCATGGAGGTCAGAAGAGGGCTTCAGATTCCCATGAAACTGGAGTTAAGGACATGGCTTACCAGCACCCACATGCAGTTTTTAGCTGCATTGTGGGTGCTGGTAAGCAAACCCCAGTCCTCTGCAAGGGCAGTCAGTGCTCTTAATCACTGAGCCATCTCTCCAGCCCCATAAATAATAAGTTTAAGGCCACAGTGATCAAAAGATAGAAAAAGTTAAGATGAAAAGTTAGGTAGGAGAATATTCAGACCCCCAAAACTGAGCCTGGTGTCACATAACCTACCTATAATTCCAGCTATTTTGGAGTCCAAGGCAGAAGGATTGAAAATTGGGGGCCAGCTTGGTCTACAAAGTGAACTCCCAGTGAGGGAGTAGAGGTGTAGTTCAGTAGTAGAGCACATGCCTAAAATCTGCCAGTGTGGGGCTGAGGTTGCAGCTCAATGGTGCATGACTTTCCAGTAGAGTGCTTGCCTAACATGCATGAGGGCCTGGGTTCAATTCATAATAGCACTAGAATAAAAACAAAATATAAGGCTAGTGAGATGGCTCAGTGGATTAAAGTGCAACCCTGACAACTTGAGTTCAATCTGCAAACCCACAATGGAAAGAACTCTTAACTCCCAAAAGTTTCCTCTGACCTCCACATGTGTGCTGTGGCCCCATGTGTGCACATGCACAAACAAAGTAATAATGACTGTGTTTGGTTTTTGACACAGGGTCTCCCTGCAGCCCCACCTGGCCTGGAACTCACTATGTAGACCAGGCTAGCCTCAAACTCACAGAGATATGCCTGCCTCTCTCTCCCGAGTGCTGAGATTAAAGGTGTGTGCCACCACACCCAGCCTACATTCACCACCTTATTCCCTTGGGAAGGGTCTCCCACAAAATCTGGGACAAGGCCGAGAGGCAGCAAACCCCAGTGCACAAACAAAATAATAATGAATTTTTTTGTTTGGTTGGTTTTTGATACAGGGTCACCACACCTGGCCCATAAATCTTTTAATATATATTTTTTAAATTATTACCAGGTGTGGTGGCGCACACCTTCAGTCCCAGCACTTATGAGGCAGAGGCAGATGGATCTTTGTGAGTTTGAGGCCACACTGGTCTACACAGAGAGTTCCAGGCCAGCTGGGGCTACAGGGAATCCCTGTCTCAAAAAGACATAATCTGAAAAGACATGTCTCCAGGCCCCAGCCCAGAGACCCACCATCATGTGTGCTCTGTGTGCTGCTTCTCCACATGTCCAAGGTCAAGTGGGTTACTGTTGATGCTTATGACCACCCCTAACCATAGATCTGCCATTGTGATATCACTCTGGCCCCTCACTGGACGATTCTAGGCAAGTGCTCCACTAATGATCCATACCACTGGCCCCTTGTTGACCTTAGGGGCATAGTTGATAATATCAGATGATATTATCTCTTTGTTGGCATGATGAACTTGTACATGCATGAAGTTCCATGTGACATAAAATACTTTTCTTTTAGGCACCGAAGCATCAGCATCTTCCCTGCAAGAAGCAGCATCCGAGAAAGAATAGAGCCAAGCCAACGCCCACATACCAGAATGTAAATTCCTCTTTGTGACATGCCCCCTCCACCACCATGGCAGACCAGATCCTTGCAGCCCACTCTTTTGACCGAAGCCAAGGCCCAGCATGATCTGAATTCTTCTCCCGTGTCCCTAACATCCAGACAGGCTTGTGTTGGCCATAAGCAGTCTCGGGTCAACAGAGAATAGGGATATGGCGAACCTGCCTTGCCGTTCCTCAGTAGTCCTGTCCTTTTGCTTTGTTTTTACATTTTTATGTGTATGAGTGTTTTGCCTGCCTGTATGTAAGTGCATCATGTGCATGCAATGCCCACAGGAGGCAGAAGAGAGTTTTGGATCCCCTGGAACTGGAATTATGGATGACTGTTAGGCAACATGTGGTGCCGGGAACCAAACTCGTCCTCCATAAGAGCAGCCAGTGCTCTTAACCTATGAGGCACTGCTCCAGCCCCTGATTTTTTTTTTCTAAATTTTATGAGTGTTTTTCCTGCATGTAAGTAAGTGTACTCCATGTATCCAATGCCCACGGAGGCCAGAAGAAGAGGGCATTGGATCCCCTGGTACTCGAGTTAAGGACAGTTGTTAGCTGCTATGTGGGTGCTGGGAACTGAACCCTGGTCCTCTGCAAGAGTAGCCAGTGCCATCTCTTGACCCCTATTCTTGCCCTTCCTAGAGAGGTTTCTTGTCACTGAGAGCTTTAAGGACATCTGACACCTGTTCTTTTTTTCCCCCTCCTCAGTCTTTTGCATTTTGTCATTTGCACAAACCTGTGAACATCGAGCGATGGATTCCCAACCAGGATGCTCTCTGAATCCCCAGTCGGAAGAACAGGGAGGAGTGGCCCGATGGACACCACCAAAGCAATGCCCCACATACCCTACTTGGCAGTTCCACTGATCCCCACTGCTTCTTATTAAGTAGTCGTTTGGGTTTTCTATTTTGCAAATTTCACTCACACAGCCAAATCTCTCAAAAAGGGTGCCACCCCTACTCCCTGGAGCTCAAAGCCTTCTGAGAGGAAGCCCCCCATACTATGGTGCCACCTGGTGCTCCATCCACCTCAGCCTCCTCCATCAACCGAGGCCACTCCCCCCCAGGGGGGGTGACAGCTCTCCTCAAAAATCAGAACCAGAGCTAGTGCCTTTTCTTCCTCTCCCTGGATGCTAGCTGAAGGCCTCTGTCCACCTTCACAAGCCAGGGGGTACCAGAGAGTAAAAAGTAAGGTGCCAGAGGCCCAGCTGTTCAGGAGACATTTTTCTTAGCAGCTCCTCTGACCAGGTTCACACTCTGCCCCTACCCTCAGACATGTTTGAATAGAACTGGTGTAAGCATCAACACTACATCCCTAGATGTCCCACGGGCTACCTCCCTTTAAACATAGGGCCCTAAGAGAGACATAGACAGAGGAATCAGTTCCTTGCTCCAGCTGCTTTACCTTTGCATCCTGTTGAACCGGAAGAAGATAATTCCATGTGCTACATATTCAACAGACCCTCAAGCTGAGACCCATTTGCTTCTGCCGGGGGGAAAAAAACACTGCTGGCTATAGGACTCTTCATATTTATTACTAACAATCTTCAAGCAACAGCCTCCCCCAGAGATGCCTGGAGGACATCAGGACCACACGTGACTGACCAGGCTTGCTCCTGCCACACCTTCTGTCTTCCATCTTCACAGATCACAGTCAAGGCTAAGGGGCCAAGCCTCATCAGTTCCAGGCTTGAGTTCCAATGCAGGCAAGTTCCTTGAAGTGTTGGGGAACAGGGAAAAACGGAAAGAGGGATCACTTGCTGTGACACATGCATACATGTGCACACAAACGCAGACACCCCACTATTGCTGCCCTGCAGACAGGATGGAGACAGAGGGCAGCCCACCTAGAAACAGGCAGCCTGACAACACTTTGCAGCTGAATGGACCCCTGAATTAAGTGACCTTCTGATTTTCAAGGAGAAAAAAAAATGGTGTCTTCCTTGTCTGTCTGTAGCACCTCATAGATGGGCGCCAGCAAGCACTTCCTTGAGCCTGTCCCCAACCCAACAGACTAAGTCTTGCTGAGTGACAGGTTGTGAGACTTCTGTTTGATCACTGTGAATTAACCCCCTGCTTCCTTCCTCACCCACCCCACCCTCCACTCTGTTTCCGTGCATTTTCTAAGTGGGCACTCCCAATACTGTCCCAGGAACCCACATGGCCTTTCCTAGACATGTGGCCCCCACACTGGGCTAAAGAATGGAGACAGCTGCAGTGGAAGCTGGATGGTCTTATGTCAGAAGAATGTGTCTCTGCTTTGAGTCTCTCACAAGTGACATCACTGGCCCATTTGAGCCTGTCAGCCAGTCTGTGTGGTTCATTGTAGGATGGCTTTTCCAAAGGTGACTATGCAGTCCTTGCTTCCAGGGTTAGAATGCTCATACTTGCATCCCAGCCAGATGAAAAAGCAAGCAGAAAGCAATAAATCAGGGTTCTCTGAATAGTGTCCCTGCTGAAAAGAAGCCACCCATATTTAAAAACCCTAATACATTCTGCATAACAAAACAGTCAAGAGCTCAAGCACAAGGCAACTCACAAAAATGTCCCTACCTGCCCAATGTATCAATGTATAATATTACTTTTTTAGCTTTGAGTGTCTCACTAAGATCAGGCTGCCTGGAACCTAAAGAGATCCACCTGCCTGTACCTCCAGCCTGGTCCCAGTGCTGGGATTAAAGGTCTGCCACCACGCCCAACCTAGAATTACTTTAATAGTAGTGCAAGTTAGAAACTGCCCCATTGTTGGGCCAGGTGTGGTGGTTCATACTTGTTCATGAGTTCAAGACTAGCCTGGGCTACATAGTGAGACCTTTTTTTTTTTTATTTTTTTTTGTGTCTTTTTTTTTTTTTTTTTTCCTTGAGACAGGGTCTCCTTGTAGCCCCAGCTGGCCTGGAACTCAATGTGTAGACCAGGCTGGCCTTGAATTTACAGAGATCTGCCTGCTGAGTGCTGGGATTAAAGGCCTGAGCTATCATGCCTGGCTCAAAAAAAATTTATTAATTAATGAAAAAAAATTTTTTTTGAGACAGGGTCTCATTATGTAGCCCTGGCTGGCCTGGAACTCACAGAGATCCTTCTGCCTCTGTTTTTGGGTTCTGGGATTAAAAGCATGTGTCACCATGCCTGGCCTGGACTATGATTTGTTTGTTGGCTCTGCTGCCTCTGGTTGTATTCCTAGAATCCTGTCTGAATGAGGTTTTGGGGTTTTTTGGTTTTTTTTTTGGTCTTTTTGAGGCAGGGTCTCCCTCTAGCCCCATCTGACCTGGAACTCATGATGTAGAACAGGCTGGCCTCAAACTCACAAGAGATCTTCCTGCCTCTGCCTCCCAAGTGCTGGGATTAAAGGCGTGCGCCACCACGCCCAGCTCTGAATGAGTTTTTAACCCAGTGACTGACAGAACCAAATACTGAACTATCTTACAGCCCAAAATGAACTTTACAGCCTTTTAAATAATTCCTGAGCCTCCTCAGACTAAAGTTGGCCGACTGAGCATGAACACATCCTCTTCAGCCAGAAAAGTGGGGACTGGAGAGGTGACTCAGCAGTTAAGAGCACTTGCTGCTTTTGCAGAGGACCTGAATTTGGTTTCCAGCATCCTGGTCAGGAAGCTCACAACCACCTGTAGCTCCAGCACTCCCTTGTGGCATTAGGCACCTGCCTGCAAATGGCATATACTCACACATACACATAAATAAAAATGAACCTTAAAAATAGTAAATTTGGGGCTGGAGAGATGGCTCAGCAGTTAAGAGCATTGGTTGCTTTTGCAGAAGACCCAAGTTCAATCCCCAGCATCCACATGGAGGTTTATCAACCATCTGTAACTCCAGTTCTGGGGGATCCAATGTCCTCTTCTGACCTACACAGGCATTGCACAACAAGGATGCACTTACATACATTCAGGCAATACACTCACACATAAAATAAAATAATGAATTTGTTTTAAAGACAGGAAATTGACAAAATATTGGCTTAGGGTTTAAAAGTCCAGTTGCATCTCATATATAATTTGGTAATATAGTTTTTTAGTGCCACAAGAGTAAGGATGGCTGGATGTGGTGGTACACATCTTTAATCCCAGCCAGCACTCAGGAAGGCAGAGGCAGGCAGATCTCTGTGAGTTTAAGACCAGCCTGGGCTACATAGGGAGACCTTATCTCAAAACAAGAGTAAGGATATTGCATGCATAGTAAGACAAGCATAGGTCTATTTTTGTAGAATTATTTCATATCTGAGCAAGGAGTTTACATGACTGTATAATATGCCAGTCTTGGTGGTGTATGCCTGTCATCCCAGCACTTAGGAGGCTGAGGCAGCTGGGTCATGAGTTCAAGTCTGGCCTGGTCCACACACTGAGACCTTGTCTCAGAAAAAAAAAAAAAAAAGTAGGCCAGGCATGATGACTCATACCTTTTATGCCTGCACTTGAGAGGCAGAAGCAGGTAAATCTCTGTGAGTTTAGGGCCAGGCTGGTCTAATTGAGTTCCAAGTCAAGCAGGGTTACATAGTGAGACCCTGTCTTTTTTAAAAATTTAAAAATTAATTAGACTATAAATTGCTTGTTGGCTGTATTGGTGCCTGAATATGAGTCCTTAACATAGTAGCTGGAACAAATCAAACTCCATCTAGAACATCCCGTCTTGGAATTGGTTTAGCTCCCAAGTCAGTTCTCAGGTTATACCAGGTAACCTGAGGTCACAAGTACATGTCATTCTGGTCACCTGTGTCTGCTTTGGCCTCTGGCCTCTTTGGAGAGGTTGGTTCTCAGCCAGTGCCTGGGAAAGCTTTCACTTCTTGGGCAGCTCCTTGGTGCAGAAGGGTCTTCTAGCACCATCTGACCCTAATTTTTAATAGCAGGCAAGTATCTTGCTGCCTTCTATCACCTTCTCCATATCTCTGGAAATCTTTCAAGGAAGGGCTTCAGGCCCAACACTGGCCTTCCAATCAGAGTGGCTTTGCTATCTCTCCACCATCTTGGATCCTCCATGTTGGCCTCCCAAACACTGCAGCTTTGATCTCTCTGCCATCTTGGATCCTCCATGTTTGCCTCCCAACCAGAGCAGCTTTGCCCTCTCTGCCATCCTGGATCCTCCATGTTGGCCTCTCAACCAGAATAGACCCTCTCTCCACCTCTTGGGTTCTCAGAGACTGCACTGCTCGTAGCATTGGAAGCCACCACCATAGCATTTGCCAGTCATCAACAGCAATCCAGGCCAGCTATTTGCCACCCTTGTCTCACAGGACCAGCAAACAGTGGTGGGATTGCCTTCCAGAGCCAGAGCCAGAAATGGTTAGATGCTATTGGATCCAGTTCTGAGCATAGACACTTCCAGACATGTTTTTCAGGTGACCCTCAACTACCTCAGGTTTGGAAACCCTAAATTAAGCTGATTACCACTCTAGCAACAAACCGAGGAGTCTGGTTAAGTCTTGGTGATAACCCAAATGTCTCAAACTTACAGAAAACTTGCAGGGATGGGCTTGGGTTTCTTGGGTTGTTTTGTTTTTTTCTGTTTTTAACCTGTTCCCTAGTCTTCCATTAGAATACTCCCTATAAAAAAGTTAACGTTTCACAGAGTGCCTACCTTCCCAGGGCAGGTGGCCACTGGTTCTTGTTTCTTTCCAATACTACTTTTATTATGGTATGAAGACCTTTCTTTGTAAAATGCATTGGATCTGTGTTTTCAATTTTTCAAATAAATATTTCAGCCTGGCCATGAAGAGTGGTGGTAACAATTAACCAGAGTGCCCTGAGCTTTGGGCTGGAGTGTCTTGCTTCTGTGTTATAGGATTCATGGAATTCATATAGCACAGCACTGGAAAGATGGCTCAGTGAGTAAGAGTGCTTTCTGCAGAAACATGAGGAACTGAGTTCAAATCCCCAGCACCCATGCACAGTGTTTGGACCTGTAATACCAGTGTTGAGGGGGGCGAGCAGAGACAGGGATCACTGGGGTTTGCTGCCTCTCAACCTTGTCCAAGATTTATTGGTGAATGTAGGCCAGGCATAGTGGCACATACCTTTAACCCCAGCACTCGAGAGACAGAGGCAGGCATATCTCTGTGAGTTTGAGGCTGGTCTGGTCTACATAGTTCCAGGCCAGCTGGGGCTACAGGGAGACCCTGTCTCAAAAAGACCAAAAAAAAAAGTGGAGCATGATAGAGCAGGATATTTAATATCCTCCTCTGGCCTCTGAAGGAATCAGCACATGTACCCAAATACACACATGCACATACAACAAAAAACAAACAAGACTGAAGAGATGACTCTGTGGTCAATAACACTTGCTGCTCTTCCAAAAGACCCAGGTTCAGTTCCCAGGACCCAAGTCAGATGGCTCACAACTGCTTGTAACTCTAGGTCCAGGCGATCTGATGCCCTCTTCTGGCTTCTAAGAGTACCAGCACTCACATGCACATACACACACATAAACACATTTTTTTTTAAGTTTTAAAGAAAATTAGCAGTATCGAAAAAAAGTGAAGGCTAGGGAGATGGCTCAGTGGATAAAAGTGCTTTACACAAGTGTGAGGACCTTGTTTCAATCCCCTGAATCCATGAAAAAGCCACACAGTGATACAAACATCTGTAATCCTAAACTAGAAAGCCATCTTAGCCTGGTGTATGCAGCAGAGAAACAACAAACCCTGCCTCAAAAGAAGCTGCAAGACAAGGACCGACACCCAGGTTGTCCTCTGACCTCCACACATTTACCATGACACACACTCACATGAATGCACCCCACACACAAAAATACATCTTACACCTTATATAAATATATACATGGGGTTGGAGAGATGGCTCAATGGTTAAGAGTACTGGCTGCTCTTCCAGACTCAAGTTCAATTCCCAGCACCCACATGGTGGTAGCTAACAACCATCTGGAGCTCCAGTTCCAGGGGATCTGACTCTTCTGGCCTCCATGGGCATTGCATGCACAGATACACTTACATAACTGCAGATAAAACACTCATACACATAAAAATAAAATACATGTGTATAAATGTATATGCAGAGAGGCGGGGAGGCAGTAGCTTTAGGATGTAATGAAAACATCAAGGGAAGTGTAAGGAGAAAGGAGACAAGCCCAAAAAAGGCAGAGATGAAATATAAAGAGAGAAAGAGTGCTAGAAATGAGGATTTCTTCACCAAATTCTTGTTTTAGAAATCATGTTTGAGGCACAAAGATATGCAGTTAGGGACATGCCCACTTCTCAGAGTTTGCAGTCTGGCTGTCAGCTGACCCAAAGGGTAAATGAAAAGTATGCTACAACAAGGGAACAAAGAACAGAAGGGACT